TGAGTCTCAGGTGATTTGATGGCACATAACAACAACAACTATGTGAGAGAAATTGCCCCAGGGAAAATGATTGTGGGACGATCTTTCAGTATGGTCCTGCCACCTGCTGGCCTTTTTGATGCACTGCAGATGATATGCTTGAACTTGGTTTCTCTATGGGATCACAGGTGTGGGGTGTGGACGAGAGGACACCTCTCTACCCCAAGCGAGAGGGAGACGGAGGAGCAGCAGGGATCAGAACAGTATATCCTCAAGGCCTGAGTCCTCACTCCATCCCCGCGGGGCCCTGGATATATCCCTCACCTTCCCAGGTGTCATTTCACCTCTGTCCTTGATGACAGATGTCATCCTACCACCACCAGCTGCCATAGTTGATTCCCACTCATAGTGACACAGAAAAAAAGTAGATAGCCAGACCTTTCTTCTGCAGCAACTCAGTGTGGGAGCAGGGGTCTGCTGGGGATGGGGGAGACGGCTCTGTGAAGGGAACAACAGTGATTCTTCAGTGTCACTTACTCCAGGAAGCCCTCCGTGACTTCCTGAGCAAGATTTGTTTCCTCTGAGCCTCCAAGACACCTTCAGTGACAGCTGGCCCACACTGTGAGCCTTTCATTTAGCATCAGAGGGACATCGTAATTGGCTGTAATTTCCTGATAAGTGTGTCCTTTCCCCTTGCCTGTGTCCACCAGCCAGATCTTGCATTCCTGGAAAAGACACTGCTTCACCCATCCACCACTCTGACAGGATAGAACCTTCCCCTGTAATCTTTAAGGGAGCTGCTCACCAGGCCTTTCCACAAACTCTTTGTACCACCCAGGGACCTTAACACATGCCACAAGCATCTGTTGGTCTGGAAAGAAGCCGTCTGGGTTCCAAACTGTCAAGTGGGGTGCAGTGGGCTGAGTCTCCCCGAGTGTTATGCATGGTGGGAGGTGGAGAGATGCCACCAAATCACCTCGGATTCACTGCACCATGGCCACCTTGTGTGTCCAAGTTCTGCTGTGCTGAAGAGGACTATCAAGCGCTGGCTCTTCGCAAATTGATCACCATCCTTTTCATCTCACCTACCTCTAGATGGACCAATGTATCTAGTTAACGGCTAAAAGCATCAACTGCTTACACTGGAAAGGGTTCTGAGGAATGGTCCCAAAGGTGGGGAGTTTATGCTATTGGAGGCAGATATAAGTCTCAGATGGGTCCAATAAGATAATCCTCTGATTATCTTATCAACTGTTGCTACAAAACAGATTGTTCCCTAGCAACTTAGAGCTTCTCATGTTTGTCATCCCTTTCTGAGAGTCACGGGTCTGAGTGTGGCTTCTGTGAGTCTCTTGGTTCAGCATCTCCCAAGGCTGCAGACAAGGGGCTGAAGGAGGCTGGGGTCTCCTCTGGAGACGGGGCTGGGGAAAGAACCATCCCCAGGGCCGCGTGGTTATTATCTCGATGAGGCTGCTTATTATAGCTGGAGCTCTGACCATTGCCCCACTGGCATTCCCAGGGACCTGGCCAGAGCCCTCCCCCCCCCCAAAAAAAAGTATGCCATGTCCCACTTGAGCTCCTGTGGGCTCTCGTTTCAGCTGAGGAGTCCCTCGCTTGTGACAACCCGGGGTTACCTGAAAACGGCTACCAGATCCTGTACAAGCGTCTCTACCTGCCCGGCGAGTCCCTCACCTTCATGTGCTACGAGGGCTTCGAGCTCATGGGCGAGGTGACCATCCGCTGCATCCTGGGCCAGCCGTCCCACTGGAACGGACCCCTGCCCGTCTGCAAAGGTAAAGGAACCCCCTCGCGCTGCCCCCTTCCTCCAGACCCAAGTGCCAGCTGGTGGCAGGAAATAGAACACACCCCACCTGTCTCAGAAATGGTGTAAGGGGCAGGAATCACCCTGCAGCTTAAACAGAAAAACAAATCCACTGCTTTCTAGTGACCCTCCTTCATGTTTCAGAAGCTGTTAATCTTTCCCCAAAGAGGTGGCCTGTCTTTCTCCCGCGGAGCACCTGGTGGATTTGAACTCCTGATCTCAACATTACAAGCTGCACCATCAGGGCTCCTAAGATCAGCTTGTGACAAGCCAAGTGAAATGTAGATCGACTGACCTGGCCTTTAAAATGCTGGTGTTAGTGGTGTTAGGTGCTGTCGAGGCAAGTATAACTCTTAGCGAGTGACGCCATGAACAGCAGATCTGAGTGCTGTGCCGTCCTCACCATCTCTGTCGCGCTTGAACCCACTGCTGCAGTCACTGTGTCAGACCATCTCATTGAGGGTCTCCCTCTCTTTCGCTGACCCTCCACCTTTCCAAGCAAGGAATAGCCTCTCCTCGCCACATGTCCAAAATATGTGAGAGGAAGCCTCGCCATCATTTCCTGGAAGGAGCACGCTGGCTGCACCTTCCCCCAAGACATATTTGTAAGGCAGCACAGGAGGGGAAGACCCTCTATGAGGTGGATTAATTCAGTGGGTAATCGGGATGGGTGTGTCAGAGGCAATGAGATTGGCACAGGATAGAGCAGGGTTTAGGGCTGTTGTACACAGGGTCGCTATGAGTCGCAAACGACTCGACGGCACATAACAACAACAACAAATACCCTACTGTGTTAAGCCAGTGGAACTTGAGAGCTCTGATGGCCAGATCTGTAGAGAGTTGCACAGCTGACCTAAAGGTGGGATCTCTCTAGTGGTCTGAATCCACAAACAACTCGTCAAGGAGGAAGAAAAGCTGTCTATTCCGGTGCAATTTACAGCCTCCAAAAACCAATTATGAGGGTCAGCAGTGAGGGGTCCCAGCTCAACAACAGTGATGGAGTTATTTATACCTTTCTGAGCATCCACTAGAAAGCCCTAGATTCCTTTCCTTAGAAAGGGGAAGCCTGTGATTTTTTAATTTTTTTATTTTTTTAAACAAAGAAGCTCTTATTGGGGGCTCATTGTCCCAGACCGGAGAGGGGCAGGAGAGGTCAGGAAAGTGGCAGGTGACATGAAGGTGAACCAGCTTTTAAAGACTAGGTGGAGGGGAGCTCTGGTGGCCTAGTGGCAAGGAACTGCAACTATAATCCCAGAGGCGAACAGTTTGAATCCACCAGATGCTCTGCTGGGTAAGGAGGGACAATCTCCTCCTGTACCAGTCAGATCTGATTTGACGGTACATGCACACAAGAATAATAAAATTTTTTAAAAAATTGATTAAAAAAAAAGACTAGGTGGGAAGGGCGAAGCGTGTGATTTTTATTTCCATATAACTTTAGTGAACCCTTTTATTTGAGAATTCCAGCTTCAAAGCTTAGACACAGTCGCTTCCATTTCTAGGTGGTGTTGGGGGAGGTAAAATTAAAAAAATATTAAAATTAGAATCTCTTTGGGTTAGCAAAGCTTAACCCAAAAATAAAAAGAGAACGAAGACCACGTTAATATTGGTGGTTACTGTTATGTACCCACGAGTCAAAACCAACTCACAGCTGACCCTCCACAAGTTTTCAAAGACTGTAAATTGCACAGGACATTGTCCATCTTGCTCCCACAGAGCAGGTGGTGGATTTGAACTGCGTACCTTAGAAACGCAGCTGAGCCTTGAGAAACACAAGGCGTGGGCTTGTGCCCCAGGCTCCCGGGCCCTTCCCGGTGTGTGGCGCTGACCGGGTCTCCTGATTTCTTCTCTTGCAGTTAATCAGGACAGCTTCGAGCACGCCTTAGAAGGTGAGTCCCAGGGTGAAGACAACCGACAGCTCAAGGCAGTCGCCGAAGCCCCGGCCAGGGCTCTAGGCATCGTTTCCTCCAGCAGCTTGAACCTTCACACCACTGGGGATCATTTCAAAGCGAATGTCGTCATAAAGGAAAAATCTGTGGGATTTCCAGCATTGCTGCTGTTGATAGGGGCCATCGAGTCGGCTGTGACTCAGCGAACCTAACCGCCCTGCCCGTGCCCGTTCCATCTTCATCATCTCCGTCCTCCAGCCCTTTGCTGTGGTCACTGTATAAGCCTATCTTTTTTCTTTCTTTCTTTCTTTTTTTTTTAATTTTTCTACTAATTTATTTACAAAATTCAAATATAAATTTGAACAAATTATTTCCATTTCCCTCACCCCCTCACCTATCAAATTGTACAATCCAGTGCTTAATCCCCTCTTCCTCCTGCACATCCACATCCCTCTGCTTCCAGCCCCTCCCACCCCTCCTGGATCCTTATACTCGCTCTACAATAACTGTTTTATACAATATTTATCCTTATATGACTGAGTTAGTTCACTCAGCATACTGCTCTCCGGTCCCTCCCAAGTTAGGTAATAATTTACAAAGTTATTGTTCCTGTGTGCTGCGTACTATTCCATCGTGTGAATGCACCATAATTTCTCAATCCATTCATTTGTGGTTGGACATTTGGGCTGTTTCCATGTTTTTGCAATGGTGAATTATGCTGCTATGAACATTGATGGACAAATCTCAGCTTGAGCCTCGGTTCTCATATTCTCAGGGTATATTCCAGGTAGTGGAATAGCTGGATCATTTGGAATCTCTATGTTCAGCTTTTTGAGGGAGAGCCAAACTGCCTGCCAGAATGGTTGCACCATTTTGCAATCCCACCAACAATATATAAGAGTTCCTATCTCTCCTCATCCTCTCCAGCATCTATTACTCGCTGCCCTGTGTTAAACTTTGCCACTGTTACTGGAGTGAGATGCTACCTCATTGTGGTTTTGGTTTGCATCGATGGTGGAGCACAGTGGCTCGTGTCACGGCTTTCTGGTTCAGACCGTCTTGGTGAGGGTCTTCCTCTCTTCTGTGCCAACCCTCCACTTTTCCAGGTACGATCTATCCATTCTCCAAGACTGGCCCCTCCTGGAACCATATCCAAAGTAGGTTAAGACCAAATTTCACTGTCTTTGCCTCTAAGGAGGACCCAGGTTGCACTTTCTCCAGGATGAATTTTCTCTGGGAGTTTCATCTCCAGATTTGTGAGTTTCATCTCCAGAAACACAATTCAAAGGCATGAATTCTCCAATCTTCCGTATTCCTCCTCTGACTTTCACATGCCGATGAAACATCTCATTGAATACCACAACTTCGGCCAGGTGCCCCTTCGTCTTCTTCCAAAGCAAATTCAAAAGAATAATTACTTGAGTTTTCAACTTGGCGTTCTAAATCTGGCCTGGGAGGGACAGGGCTTTGATTCTGCACATCACGGGATTACGTTTGGCAGTCCATCTGCTTATGAAGGTGCCAGACCCCATGTGGTACTGTTTTGGGGTGGGGGGGAAACCCAGCAGAGCTTCACCTTTCATCCCCAGGACCCTCCTGGTTTGAGGAGAGAAGCCTTAGTTGATGCAAATGGTTAACCACAAAAAAATAAAAGAGAAAGAAGAAAACATTATGTTAACTGTTAACTGACAGCTTGGTGGTTGGAACCCAGCCAGAAGTGCCTCTGAAGAAAGGCCTGGTGATCTGCGTCTCAAAGAACTTGAAGCCCCTTAAACGCAGTCAGGTCTGCCCTGCACACATGTGGTCCCCCTGAGTCTGAACTAACTTGTTGCAAACCGGTTTCACGGGGCATGCGCTCTGTTCTGTGTCTCTCTCTGTCTTTTCTTCAGCAAGAAATACTTCTTTCCCAGAGAACAGACACATGTGGGAAGCTCTGCTTAGGAATTGGAAGCATGGCTTCTTAACGCATTTGCCACCTAATAGACAGACTTTGAGTAATTCAGCAGGAAAGGATCGAATTCCCGGTTGGTTTTCTGAGGCTGTAAATCTTTATAAAAGTGCATTGCCTGCCTTCTCCCACAGCGTGACTGATGAATTCACACTGCTATTTAACCGCTGAACCACCAGCGTTTTTAACAGCGTGGCTCCCAACACCCTTCAATTCACCGAGTCAAACTCATCATGATAGTCTCTGTGTCAGAGCAGAACTGTTCTCCCTAACACTGATTTTATTTCTTTTTTTTTTCTCTGCTTGAGATTGCCAGCTTTATTCCAGAATGCCCTGGATGGGCTCGAACCTTCAAACTTTGAGTAAGCACTGTTAGTCGTTTCCCCTATCAGTAACTTGCTCACCTTCATTCACCTCATTCCCAAGTATCTCTTGGTTACCCTTCTCTCCACTCCAAGAATCCAGTGATGCTGCCTTCCTTATTATCCTGTCACCTGTAGGATTTCCCCAAAGCTGCACTTGGATTTTTTTTT